ACTTTCTTTGGGCCCTTCTTCAACTGTGACCATTCTGAGGGCCCTTCCACCAGTATTCAAATTTGGGCGTATCGGGTATTTGTGCCAAACTTGGTTCAGTGAATGAAAATACATCCTGCATATCAGATATTTACATTATGATTCATAAATGTAGCAAAATTACAGCTATAAAGTAGCAATGAAAATAATTTTCACTGCCATAAAATCCAGTTCAAAGCAGATAATCTGGATTTTATATGTAGGAAAACTAGTGGGATCCCATCGCTATTTTCTTTCCCCTTTGGCTGTGTCAGACCTGCTGGAATGCCCCAGATTTTAACAAGCCTGTCATTGATCAAATTAGGCCCAGCCTTTGTTCCTAACAAGGTTTTAATGACTCCATTTAACTCCAGACAAAAAGGTGATTTGTCCAGCTCTGTATTTTGCATTGTAGATTCTGTCTTCACACCTCTCCTTTCAGAAAGACTAGACAGATGCAACTTGGATTGCCTCACATCTAGTTGGAAAAGAATTTGCCCTCCAGCAAGTATGATTTGCACTGAGGAGATGCATTTTGCATTAGGTTTGCTCGGGGAAAACAAATTTTCCATAGGTCTAACCACTGCCATGTTTGGCTCTCAGAGGTGATTTGCCTGCAGACATGATCAGATTAATTCTTAAACTTTATATTTTCCCCTCTTCCTCTTCTGTTTCTTCCTATCCCAGTCCCTCACTCATCTTGTCTTGATCTTCCCACAAAAAGTCTGGGCCTTCACAAGTGTTATCTTTTCAGCAGTGACGAGAAATGGTAGTATTCAATTGCTTTGCATTATTAAGAACATGGTCGTACAATGGGACACTGATCAACTCATGCTCAAAATAGATACAAATGAAGATGAATAGAGAAGATGCTGTGATTTGCATGAAAGCTGAGGAACAGATGGTCTAATCATCTAAGCAAGCATCTATTAAGGAAATAACGAGGGTCCTTCCACACAGCCATATAACCCAAAATATCAAGGCAGAAAATCCCACAATATCTGCTTTGAACTGGGTTATCTGAGTCCGCACGGTCATATATCACAGCTCAAAGCAGAAAATGTGGGATTTTCTTCAGCAGTGTGGAAGGAGTCTGAGTCCACACTCAGATAATGTGGGATTTTCTGCCTTGATATTCTGTGATATAGGGCTGTGTTATACCTGTTCCAACAGTGTTAGCTGACAACAAAGTTGTTTTGCAGTAGAATAATAATAGGTAAAGGTAAAGGTTTTTCCCTGACATTAAGTCCAGTTGTGTCCAACTCTGGGGGTTGGTGCTCATCTCCATTTCTATGCCGAAGAGCCGGCATTGTCCGTAGACACCTCCAAGGTCATGTGGCCGGCATGACTGCATGGCGTCAATACCTGCCCGCCGGAGCAGTACCTACTGATCTACACACATTTGCATGTTTTTGAACTGCTAGGTTGGCAGAAGCTGGGACTGACAGAGGAAGCTCACACCGCTCCCTGGATTCGAATCTGCAACCTTTCGGTCAACAAGCTCAGCAGCTCAACTGTTTAAACCACTGCGCAACCAGAGTCAGGATTATTTATGTCTTTTTCAACAAGTCATTTCATCTCGTGATATGTCGAAAATACAACAGCCTTGGTTTAGTTATCTTTGCTTCTAATGATGCATACACATTTCTACTGACTTATTTTTGTTTGACTGCAACGTAAAGCATATATGCATACACACACATACTGTATGTGTGACTGTATGTATGCATATGTGTGTGTCCCCTGCCATGCGTTGCTGTGGCCCAGTCTGGTGATCTGGAAAATAATGAAATGAGAAAGTGTTGGTTTCTAATATAAGTAATTTCTTTATGCTTGTGAGTAAACAGTATTTCTTGTTGTTTCTTTGTCAGTGTTGATGTGGAGAGTGTCTGGTTTGCCTACCCTGGAAAATGCAACATATAATTGGAGGGCTTTGATTATGTTTTCTTGCCCTGGTGAAGGGATTTTCTGTTGGTCATGGGAGTTCTGTGTGGGAAGTTTGCCCCAATTCTGTCGTTGGTGGGGTTCAGAGTGCTCTTTGATTGTAGGTGAACTATAAATCCCAGTAACTACAACTCCCAAATGTCAAGGTCTATTCCCCCCCAAACTCCATCTGTGTTTATATTTGGGCATATGGAATATTCATGCCAAGTTTGGTCCAGATCCATCATTGTTTGAGTCCACAGTGCTCTCTGGAAGTTGGTGAACTACAACTCCCAAACTAAAGGTCAATGCCCACCAACCCTTTTAGTGTTTTCTGTTGGTCATGGGAGTCCTGTATGCCAGAGATCAGAATGCTCTTTGATTGTAGGTGAACTATAAATCCCAGCAACTACAACTCCCAAATGAGAAAATAAATTTTTGAGTGATGGTCATTCCTTGGGTTGTGGCCAAATTTGGTGGCAATTCGTCCAGTGTTTTTTGAGTTATGTTAATCCTACAAACGAACATTACATTTTTATTTATATAGACAGACAGACACACATTCAAAGAGACTGGTCCCAATCAGGCCACTTATGTTCACCCCATAGATTTCATACAGTTTTCTTAGGCAATAAATACTCAGAGGTGGTTTGGCCAGTTCCTTCCTCAGACATATCACCTACACCTTTTGGGATTTTTGTTGTCCCCCCTTCTAAGTACTGATCTTGTTTAGTTTCTAAAATCAGAAAGGACCAGGTGCTGAATAGTAGGATATAAATACTCTGGGTGAATGGCTGGATAATACCACCTTGGATAGGATCTTTTAACTAGAGTTTAATGAATTGTAATTGGTTTTGTTTGCCCCAAATCTGTCATTGGTGGGGTTCAGAATGCTCTTTGATTGTAGGTGAACTATAAATCCCAGTAAATACAACTCCCAAATGTCAAAGTCTATTTCCCCCAAACTCCATCTGTGTTCATATTTGGGCATATGGAGTATTTGTGCCAAGTTTGGTCCAGATCCATCATTGTTTGAGTTCACAGTGCTCTCTGGATGTAGGTGAACTACAACTCCCAAACTCAAGGTCAATGCCCACCCTTCCAGTATTCTCTGTTGGTCATGAGAGTTCCGTGTGCCAAGTTTGGTTCAATTCCATTGTTGGTAGAGTTCGGAATGCTCTTTGATTATAGGTGAACTATAAATCCCAGCAACTACAACTCCCAAATGACAAAATCATAATTTTTTGAGTGATGGTCACTCCTTGTGTTGTGAGACATTTTGTTGCCAAATTTGGTGTAATTTCGTTCATTGGTTCTTTTGTTTTTAAGGTACTCGTTACACACAGAGCATTTATAGATAGATAGATAGATAGATAGATAGATAGATAGATAGATAGATAGATAGATAGACAGATAGATAGATATGTTCTTGTGAACTATTATTTATTTATTTATTTACTTTACTTGTATACCTCAGTTTCTCAGCCCAACAGGCGACTCAACGCGGTTTACAACAAGGATAAGAATCAATCAACGATATACAATTTAAAACCATAAAAGCATAATATACAATATTGACACAACAATAGACAACACAATGCATCTCATAACTAGAGTCGTGATCCAATCCGTCGTCCAAATTTCCATTCCTGTAATCATCACATTCATTGCACTGTTTAACCGAATGCCCGTTCAAACATCCAAGTTTTTAATCTTCTTCGGAACACCATTAGCGAGGGGGCTGATCTTACCTCCATAGGAAGGGCGTTCCACAGCTGGGGGGCCACCACAGAAAAGGCCCTGTCTCTCGTCCCCGCCAGCCGCACCTGTGAAGCAGGCGGGATAGAGAGCAGGGCCTCCCCAGAAGATCTTAGGGTCCTGGTGGGTTCATAGGCAGAGATACGTTCGGATAGGTAATTTGGGCCAGAACCGTTTAGGGCTTTATAGGCCAACGCCAGCACTTTGAATTGAGCCCGGTAGCAAATCGGCAGCCAGTGGAGCTGGTGCAGCAGAGGAGTTGTATGCTCCCTGCGCTCCGCTCCTGTTAGTATCATGGCTGCCGAGCGTTGGACTAGTTGGAGCTTCCGAGCCGTCTTCAAAGGCAACCCCACGTAGAGAGCGTTGCAGTAGTCTAGACGGGATGTAACCAGAGCGTGGACTACCGTGGCCAAGTCAGACTTCCCAAGGTACGGGCGCAGTTGGCGCACAAGTTTTAACTGTGCAAATGCTCCCCTGGTCACCGCCGAAACCTGAGGTTCCAGGCTCAGTGATGAGTCCAGGATCACACCCAAACTGCGAACCTGCGTCTTCAGGGGGAGTGCGACCCCATCCAACACAGGCTGTAACCCTATACCCTGTTTAGGTTATCAAACTAAATAAAATAATGTGTGTGTGTATATATCTTCTTGTGAGCTAGATTATCAAGCTAAATAAACTAACATATGTATATGTATACCTTCTTGTGAGCTAGTTATCTTACTATATATATATATATATATAGTAAGATATATATCTATGTCTATATCTATATTTCTATATCTATATCTTCTTGTGAGATAAAGATGTAAGGTCTTGTGGAAGTACAGGAGAGAGCCCAAAGATCATCTAGTCCAGCCCATTGCCAAGATGCCACTGTGGAAAGGCCTCCTGAGAAGGGGGCATTCATTCTGTTGGAAACCCTCTACAGAGCGCCATGCTTTAAAGGTATTTTGGGCAACCCAATCAGGCCCATGTCTCTTTAGGCAAAGAATGGCCCTTGCCAAATCCCTGATGGTGATTCTTTCAATCCCAGGTTGCCTTTTGAAACCCTTTCTTCAAGGCTAAGGAGGTGACAGGAGGCAAGAGTCCCTATCGGTGGCAGACACCGCGGAGCCAGGCTTTGGGGGGAAAGTGCGAATGGGCCCCCGAGGCGGCCCTTGACCGGCCCCTTTGATGTGCCTGCTGGACACCCCCCCCCCCACGGGGCGGAGGGAGGAGGGAGGGCCGCCCCATATAAATCCGGCCAGCCTCGCAGGGCCTTGCTTTCTTCCTCAAACCTTCCAGCAAAGGCAAAGCAATCCCACTCCCCAGCCATGACCAAGGCGCCCTTTGCCTCCGTGGCCTGGCTTTCCCAGAGCAGCCGGGCGCCCAAGGAGTCCCGCGAAGAGCCCCCCGAGGCCCGGCGGGGAGAGCCCTACGTCCAGGGGGTGCCTTCGGAGAGAGAAGGCCCTCCTGTGAGCCGAGGGTCGCCTCCCCAGCAGCAGCAAGTACCCCCTTCGCCGCCCAAGGCTTCACTGGGACCCTTCGCTCCCTCTTCCGCAGGTAAGGCTCAGCCCTTGGCCTCTCTCTCTCCCATTCTCTCTCTCTCTCCTTACGGATTTGTCTTTCTTGGGTTCTCAGGGTACATCTACACTTAAGGAGGGATGCAGTTTATTGGCACCACTCGAACTATCATATCTCTAACTTCAGGCTAAACATGCCCAGCTCTTCAAGCTGTTCCTCATCAAGGGTCTGGAGAACAAGCCATATGAGGAGCGGCTTGAAGAGCTGGGCATGTTTCGCCTGCAGAAGAGAAGGCTGAAAGGAGACATGATAGCCATATATAAATATGTGAGAGGAAGTCATAGCAAACTTGTTTTCTGCTGGCCTGGAGACTAGGACACAATGGAACAATGGCTTCAAACTACAGGAGAGGAGATTCCATCTGAACATAAGGAAGAACTTCCTGACTGTGAGACCTGTTCAGCAGTGGAACTCTCTGCCCTGGAGTGTGGTGGGGGCTCCTTCTTTGGAGGCTTTTAAACAGAGGCTGGATGGTCATCTGTTGGGGGTGCTTTGAATGCAATTTTCCTGCTTCTTGGCAGGGGTTTGGACTGGATGGCTGGTGAGGTCTCTTCCAACTCTATGTTTCTATGAACTACCATATATTTGAATGTTCTGGAATCCTGGGAGAGATCTTTGGCTGAGGAAACAGACAAGGCTCAATAAGGACCTTGGGGAGTGACCACTCTCCTGATTCCATGGCACTCAGCACTGGCAGTTAAAGTGGTTTCAAACTGCATTCCTTCTGAGCTGTAGATGTACCCTAGGTTTAAAACATTATTAAAGGCACAGAGAGGGAAAAGACCCTCCCCAATTGAAGAAGCACAAGGATTCAACAAATTTGGTGAATAGCAATAGATTCAGGGCCCTTCCACACAGCCATATAACCCCAGAACATCAAGGCAGAAAATTCCACAATAGCTGATTTGAACTGGATTAGCTGAGTTGCCATATATCCCAGTTCAAAGAAGAAAATATGGGGATTTTATCAAGCTGTGTGTAACGGGCCTTGGAAAAGTTAAAAGGGAACACTTCTGCAGGAAATTGATATGGCTTCAAAATCTGCTTCTGGAAAGGTAGGGGCTGTTCAAGTTATTATTATTATTATTATTATTATTATTATTATTATAGTGTCAAAATTGCATGGCCGGAATCACTGGGTTGTTATAGGTTTTTTGGGCTGTATGGCCATGTTCTAGAAGCATTCTCGCCTGAGGTTTCACCTGCATCTGTGGCAGGCATCCTCAGAAGTTGTGAGGTCACAACCTCTTAGGATACCTGCCACAGATGTAGGAGAAACATCAGGAGAGAATGCTTCTAGAAAATGGCGGCGGGGTATAAATAAATAAATTATTATTATTATTATTATTATTATTATTATTATTATTATTATTAGAAACACCACAAGATGAGTCCACAGCAGACACTCTGCTGGCTGTTGTATTGGATCACACGTCGGACACTTCCCAAGTGTCTAGGACTGTGTGATGTATTGCGAATAATGGTGCAGATCCCAGTAAGGTGGCCTTTTGCAGCTGGCAGATGGTAATTTTGTCAGCGCCAATGGTGTTTAAGTGCAGGCCAAGGTCTTTAGGCACTATACCCAGTGTGCCAATCACCACTGGGACTACCTTGACTGGCTTGTGCCATGATATCCTGGGATATAGGGCTGTGTGGGAAGGCCCTGAGATAACCACTTCAAAGCAGATATTCTGGGATTTTCTGCCTTGATATCCCGGGGTATAGGGCTGTGTGGAAGGGCCCTGAATCCAAACTCAGATAATGTGAGATTTTCTGCCTTGATATTCTGGAATATAGGACTGTATGGAAGGACCCTGAGATAACCCAGTTGAAAGAAGATATTCTGGGATTTTCTGCCTTGATATTCTGGGTTATATGGCTGTGCGGAAGGGCCCTGAATCCAAACTCAGATAACGTGAGATTTTCTGCCTTGATATTCTGGGATATAGGGCTGTGTGGAAGGACCCTGAAATAACCCACTTCAAAACAGATATTGTGGGATTTTTCTGCCTTGATTTTCTGAGTTATATAACTGTGATGAAGGGCCCTGGGAGATAAGAGTTCAAATCCCCACTCGGTTATGGGAACTCCCTCTCAGCCTCGGAGGAAGGCCAAGGCACAAGGAAACACGAGGGAAGAGTTGCCGCAAGTCGGGAAGAGCTTGAAGACGCTCAAATAAGTGGATGGACTGCTTGTTGTGCCTGGTGGACGTGGAGCTGACGTCTTTCTTGTTTCTCCCACAGCCTTGGCGTGCCCCGAGGGGGAGTGGGTGTCCTCGGGGGGCGGCTCGGACGGGGAAGGGAGCCTCTCGGAAGGAGGCCCACCCGCCGGGAAGAGCCCCCAAAGCAGCAGCAGCAGCAGCAGCAGCAGCAGCAGCCCCCGGCGCCGGCTCCGCACGGCCTTCAGCCTGGAGCAGATCAGCACCCTGGAGAGCGCCTTCCAGCGCCACCGCTACCTGGGCGCCGCGCAGAGGCGCAAGCTGGCCGCCAAGATGCAGCTCTCCGAGGTCCAGGTAAGGCCTCCTTTTCACCCCTCCCCAATCCTCCCCGCGGGCTGCCAAGGGGTGGAGTGGCCCACAGACCCAAGGCATGCAGTTGGCAAAGGCAGGGGAGAGAAGCAGGCACAAGGAATGGACTCAGGCACAGGTTGTAGGCACAGCGGCCAAAGGGATCTCCACTTGATATTATGAAAAACTTCCTGACTTCATGTTGGACAGGAGAATATGCTACCGCCTGGAAGTGTGTTGGAGTCTCCTTCTCTGGAGGTTTTTAAACAGGCTGGATGCCAGAGAAGGACCAGGATTATTTTCATGATCATAAGGTAGCAGGAATATGTCCAACATTGTCAAAGGTCTGGAAGGCAAGCTGGCATGAACTCATGCCATCCAACTAGCATCCCTGAGGTAGAACACATGGTCAAAGAACCCTACACAAGCTCTATTAGAAATAGTTTAGAGAGTTGGAGAGGTTCAGCTGAGAAGAAACTTTGGAGTTTCCAATCTTTGAAAGGATGTCAACTGAGGAGCTGGCAGGCTTGTTTTCTGCTCTTTAAAGACTAGGGCACAGAGCTTCAGAAAAAGAGATTCCACCCAAACATTGGGAAGAATCTCCTGAAGGTCAAAGCAGTTGGACAGCAAAATATGCTGTTTCATAATGTGGTGAAATCTCTTTCTTTGGAGGTTTAAAAACAGAGGCTGAATGGTCATCTGTCAGGAGTGCTTCTGCATGGCAGGGGGTTGGACTACATGCATCTTTCAACTGTATGATCCTATAATATGCAATGGGAAAGCTGGCAGAGGAGCAGCTGAAAAAGGCCAGGGAGAGAATAAGACACAGATTATGGGTTTAAGAAAAGGATAACATCTTTCACAACACTGGGGACTGTTGTCTGTTATAGAATTTATGAAACAGACGAATATTACCAAATATACCTTCATTTAAAGGGAGTACAATAATAAGATCCAATAGTGAGTGGAGGTTTGTTGGAATAGTTTGTTTCTATACTTCATCGATATGTTCATACATGTGAGTTTCATTTTTGTGCATCTGTTTTGATGTAGAAGTGTGATTGAGTTTCCTTCTCTTGAAGTTTTTAGACAGGCTGGAATGCCATAGAAAGACCAGGATTATTGTAATGGATATAGTAGTTGAATGGTTTTAGCATTATATATCCAACATTTTTGCTTTTTTGTGATTGCCTGTCTATTATGTTTTCTTTTATTTTGAATAAAAAAATACAAAGTTGTTAGGTGAGTGGTTTTGAGAAGTAGGGGAGAGAATAAGACACAAGTTATGGACTTAGGCACAGGTTATGGACACAGGAAGCATGGTGATGGGTTGGGTCATAGGGCAATGATCATATAGTGCAAAATGATGTCTGGATTAGACCAGATGAAGTAGTCTCTAGTCAATAAAAGCACATGCTATGAAAATTGCTTGGGTTTCTGTTGGTTTTCTTGCATTGCTTGTATGAAGACTGTACCATGGAACTATTTGGGTTCATCCAACTCTTCTTCTTTCTTACCCACAGATCAAGACCTGGTTCCAAAACCGGCGGATGAAGCTGAAGCGCCAGATGCAGGAGATGCGACCAGAGGTTTATTCTTCCATTCCTTTTTACAGTCCTCTCCCCTTTGCTCCCCCGAGTGGGCCTTTGTCCTACATGTATTCACCCCACCAGCAGACAGTGAGCAAGAGGGAAGATCCCATGCCTTTGGGCCTGCCTTTCCCACCTCTACCGGCTCCCCCCATTGACCCCAGGAGCCCCTCAGCAGGGCAGCCAGGGGCTCTCTGGCCCATGCCCTTGCCTTGCCTTGTGGGATACCAAGACCCTCGGACTGTATTCATGACCCTCTGATGCCAAGCCGGGGACTTGCAAAAGGATTTGCACTAAACTTTGTTCTTTCACTGAGTATCCAGAGCTACAGAACTTCATGATCTTGGATACATATGTGAAGAAGATTTTTTGCACAAGGACATTTATTTACTTGTTGACCAAGTGGGAAAGTGATCTATTAATATAAATGTATGTTCAATGAGGTCCAATTGGGCCTTGACTTGTTATATAAATTAGAGTTTGTCCTAAAAAGGACATAGACTAATTCCAAATTATTTGTCTTATCCTTGACTTTAATTGGGGGCAGATTATTCTGCTGGGTGGGGGGTAGTATCTGAATGGATCTGACTGGTTATGTAGCTGATACTGAGATAGAGTACAAGAATCTTTTGATGTAAGGGTTGTGCAATAATTACATTAAAACACTGATCAACTTTGATCATTGCTAAAACAATTTAGAAACAAGAGAAATGATGGTATTTTGTTCATAGCCCACTGACTGGAGCAGTTTTGGGTTTTTTTTTCTTCAGTATTTGCAGTGAGCTTTCTTCATTATAATATTTAAGCCATCAACTCAAGCACAGAAAAAGTAATGTAACTCAATATGGAATAGCTGCTATGTAATAATAATAATAATAATAATAATAATAATAATAATAATAATAATAATAATAATTAACAGTGATGTTCAGGTTGAACATGCCCCAAGCATTATGTAAATATGGCCAGTTTTGAACCTATTTTGTAGCTCTTGCTTTTGGATACTTTGCAGTAGCAATACTGTCTGAAGCAAACATTAAACCAGATGCACAATTTTATTCATTAACACCTATCATTTCCATAGGACCATATGTTTGTTCAACCACTGTGCAATCTAGGACAGTATTTCAGGCTATTGTGCACCTTCAAGTCATTTCTGAGTTATGATGACCCTAAGACAAATCTATCACAATGTTTTCTGAGGCTAAGAATGTGTGACTTGCCCAGTGGGTTTTCATGGACAAGTGAAATTTGAATGCTGGTCTCCAGAGTCCTACTCTCTGCCACACTGGTCAGTCTATTGTACTGCCTATGCAACAATCTATTTTTCATCTTTTCAGTACTCACCATAAAAGTATTAGCACTTTAAACTACATGGTCCTTGTATCACCACCACCAACAACCTCTCAGTTCATTTTATATGTTGGAGCATTTTCCAGAGTTATTACAGGGAACAAGACAAATGATTGTACTACCATCAGGGAAGTAAAATATACTGAATTATCAATCCATGTATACAAATACATTCCATGTAAAACAAAATATTAAAATATTAAACAGTTCTAGCCTATATTTTAGATATGTTATCTTTTCACTTCGTGTCAACGTGACATTTTTAAATGTTTCTTAACATAATAAAAGTTTTACTATTTGGTTCATTTCAGCCACATCTGCTTCCTGTGAGTAACCTCTTATCGTTTATAAATTAGGACATGTGTGCACATAATTGAGATAAACATAATATGCTTTAAAACATACAAACACACCAATTATATTTGTATTCCTGATTTCCTCCTGAGAGTCTGACATGAGACTACACTATTGTTGAAGGCTTTCATGGCTGGAATCACTGGGTTGTTGTAGGTTTTTTCGGGCTATATGGCCATGGTCTAGAGGCATTGTTTCCTGATGTTTGTGCCCTAAAAAACTCAAAAATTACAACAGCACAACAACAGACCTATGGTCTAAGCATTGAATAAACTAAACAGCACAACAACAGAGAGGAAACAAACAAGGATATCTAATCACCTCTCAACAAAAGTTTGCTCCAGGCACTGTCAGGCCATTATATGCTAATCAAAGTGGTCAGTTGAAACATTCACACCTTGCTCCACCAGACAAGAGTCCTTTGTCCCACCCTGGTCATTCCACAGATATATAAACCCTTTTTCCTAGTTCCAACAGATCTCACTACCTCTGAGGATGCTTGCCATAGATGCAGGTGAAGCGTCAGGAGAGAATGCCTCTAGACCATGGCCATACAGCCCCAAAAAACCTACAACACCCCTGAGACTACATTGTTTTCTTTACAAAACATTCAGTTTATGTCTAGGCCAAGCTGAAGTCCACATATCAGAATAAGGGAGAAAAACCATGTTGACATTTTGTCAGTTTTCTAATGAATGTACTATTTATAATATGCATCCTTGTAAACAGGGGCGTTGGCTCCTGAATTAAGACATGTGTGAATGCCCTAAGAGCAGCAGATTGTCCTGACACTTGCTTCCTATGACCGTCCCCAAAAAGGCTATACAGAGAGTTGTGCTTTGTTCAATGGTTAGTATATTTGTATGAGGGGAAGTGAATAACCCCCACTCCTTTCCCCAGCTGTGTAGAAGGTGCCTCTCATGATCAAAAGTTTACAAGGATATATGCATTCATACATTTTATAATGTCAAATTTACATCTTTAAAAATAGTAATTGAATTACATGCAGTGCATGGGTTCCATATGCAGCACATAGAACACCTCTTTCTGACAGTTCAGACCCCAGGTAGCTTGTGGGACCTTTGGAGTTCTCCAAAGTTCCCAGATCCTTCACCTCGATAAACATTAAATGACCCCAAGAACTTTTTAAAAATTCCTGAAAATGAAATAGGATGGAAGAGATATCACTTCCAATCATTTACTAGTACATTTGGAACTGGGAAGCTTTTCAACAGTTTCATTCTCTCCCGTTGACATGGAGGTAACACGAAAAGAAAATAGAAATCCTTTAGTGTATTTGTGTGTATTTGATTTCTATTTGATTTCCTGTTTCCTAGTCCTGGTCTCTCTTATGTCTCATCAGACTTTCCATGTCAAGGCTTGGAGACACCTTAATCTATCCTTAATTGAAGAGATAAGATTTATAACACCAGAATCTCTTTCTACCTTTTCTCTGAGTAACTGATTCACATGGAGAAGAATAAGTGGACTGTGAAATGGCACAATTCATTGTCCATTTCCATTTCAGACCTAAGAATTTTATTACCAGAGAGAGGGGGGAAGGGGGGGGCTTCCATACAGTCCTATATCCCAGAATATCAAGGCAGAAAATCCCACAATATCTGCTTTGAACTGGGTCCACACTCAGATAATGTGAGGTTTCCTGCCTTGATATTCTGGGATATAGGGCTGTGTAGATGGGCTCAGAGAGACTGAACAATATATCAGAACATAATATGTTTCTCGTGCAGATTATGGAAGGAGAAGCATCCCAAGATATATTTTTTGCCTAACACCATGAACTTGGCATGGGTAGCTTGGAGAAGAAAGTATTGAGTGGTGATATAACTGTCATGTTAAAATGTATGAATTATGTAGAAAGTGGTGGAAGTTGAAGGTCAAAACATCTGGGGACCCACAAGTTGAGAACCACTGGAGTAGAAGGACTAATACTTAAATTTTAAGCAGAACTTCTTGACCATGCAAGATGTTCAAATGGAGTGCCTAAGAAGATGGTGGACTTTCCATCTTTCAGTAGATACTACACTTGATCTTAGCCAAAAGGCTGAGAAGCGATAGAGGTTGAATGGCCATCTTCTGGGAGTGCTTTACTTTATTCAATAAATCCTAGTAATAATAACCAGTGCAGTGTGTCTATTTGTTTTTAAGTGTCTTCAAATTATTTCCAACTTATGGCAACCCAAAGGCAAACTTATCATGGGGTTTTCTGTGGGCCAGAGTGTGTGCTCACCTCCAGAGTGAAAATTCCTGGGGCAGGCATGGGCCCCTGTAATCCTCCAGGTCTTCTTTAGAGTGGAACTGGCTCAGTTTGCTATGTGAGATGAGGAGCTGCAAGCCAAGAAGGGTTGTAGATGTTGACAAGCAGAGATGGAGTATACTACTGGAAATGATCCCTAATTTCTCATGAAACCTTATATGCCCCCTAGATATGCTTCCACAAGATTGGGGGACCCTTCAGTATAATCTAGAGAAGGCAGGGAGGAGGAGAAGGCTGAATAAGCTAAAGTACATGCATGTTTGATAGAGTTTCAGTTGTTTCCTGGACACCATACCAATCTTCCTGTCCATGAAGGCCTTATCACTCATGTTCATGGCATCATAGAATCATAGAGCTGGAAGAGACCTCATGGGCTATCCAATCCAACCCCAACTGCTTAGGGTGTTTATCAGTCCTGCCCCCCCCCCCTTAACTTTTTCTGAGCTATTTGCAGCCTATGCACCCTACAGAAAGGCAGAAACAAAGAGACTCAGATCAGAAAACTTATGCTATTCACTTCTCATCAGCCTGAATTCAACTTTTTTAAAAGAAAAAAATATGTTCTAAATATGCTAAGGTCATCAGATCCTGTCTTATCTTGGAACAGAAGCAGGCTCATTCTGGTTAGTATAGAATGCCAGGTGCCGTAGGCTACATTTCAGAAGGCAATGGCAAATGACTAAGAAACCCTTATGAAATTCAAGAGTTTGACATAAGCTAACAGAGGACCTGGAAGCAAACATACACTCTTTATATGTTTTTATTGTAATTCCCATAATCTCTGCCCAAGATGGAAATGAACCATGAGTTATAGTTCCAATCCAAATGACATTCACTTGGGGCACTTTATTCCAAATTTGATATTATTAGTTTCATTTGTATAAACCATGTTGTCTTATACTGAGGCAAAACCATACATATTTCAAAGAAACATGAGTTAATCACCTTATCGCCTTCTGGTTGAATTTCTCTACACTTCCTGTTTATTTCAACTTCTCTGTTGTTAGTTTATCTCACTTCGCTTGAACCTAAAAATTAAATGCTTACCGAAACAGTTTTAAGAACTTAGATTCAATTAAGCATGCAAAAGATTGAAAATAAAAATATAAAAATGGGATAGCGAATATTTTGATTAAAAATACAAGACTTTGGTGTGCTGATCTTTAGTAACAGTCCCTTTATTCAGTCAACATTTATTTTGTAATGAACTATTTGTTTGCTTTTCCAACCAGACCCAACTATACCTTTCAAGGGTACATGCTGGATACCCCAACCC